CACCTCGTCAACACTGGTCATTCCATCTCAGCAAACGCCTCCTTCAAAGTATTCTACAAAGTGAAGAACAACCTTCCAAAGACAGTACGATTCCGTCTTCTTTGCATCGCAGAAGCCCTAGACATCCAGTTGGTGGAACCAGAATTATGCATACAACAGAAAATTATCCAACCACTTCTACTTGCATGGTAACAACTCCGTTGATTTGACCTAACTTTTGTTTGTTTGTTTGTTTGATTTGACCTTACTTCTGTTTGTATGCTTATTTATCTAACTTAAAACCCTTGTGTAATTCTGTATATTATTTTGTTTCCATGTACACCCTGAGCACAACTCATTCATCATGCCATTCATTCATGCCATTACGTAACTCTTATTTAACAATCATTTATGACAACTCATCACTTTTGTTGCTATCCTCTTATCAACATCCAATTCATTTGAACTAACTAATTGTATTTTCGTTTGACAAATTTAATGTATACACACACACACACACAATAACCATATATATTTGTGATTGTACAGCTATGAAAATGAATTCGCCGAAAAGAGACTCTTCGCTGCACTACTTGTCTTCTGTCTACTAATGTTCGAATGGGAATTATTCATGAAATATGAAATACTTCACATTTATTAAGGCTACCATTCAAAATGTATTACTGAACATATTTCAAACAAGATAGTCAGTTATCTGCCACCATTATGGCTGAACAGTAGTTTTTTAAAAGTGATACGTGGTGGGATGTATTGTTCGTCAAACACAATAGCGTATTTGATAAGATAGTCTTTAAAAGTCCTTACGGACTAAAACCCTGAATGTCTGCTTGCTGGTGATTAGATGATTTAGGTGTTTTGAAGTTGTGACCTGTGGCGTTCACCATATCTTTTATTTACCGGACGCTTACCTATGCCACTAGTGGACGATAACACTTTATTGTGATTTGATAAAAGTAAGATTTTTCAGGCTTATTGATTACTGCTCCATGACTAAAATTGTCAACAGGCTTATCTCATTACCTGGAAGTCATAGGTTCGGTCCTTGGTGTGGTCGTGGATGAACGCTACCAGACTAAGATGAATAAGCTGTTCCCATATTCTTGGATTTCAATTAAGTGAACATATTATAAAAAGATATAATGGTCAACACTTTCCGAAACTTATTCATTCAAGGTTTATTTCATCACTAATAGACGTCATAGGAGCATTGAAACCCAGGGAGTACTTGAGAGCTGTTTCATTTGAGTTAGAAATGTTTAATAAGTGCACGTCTATGATTTCATCAGGGACCAAGACGAAGACCTTGAGATTAAGAGACTTGTGCACAGCTGTTCAGATAGTGGGTTGAAATCTAAAGATTCATGAATTCTAATTTATGTCTGTTCGCTGGACAGAGTCATCACAATTAAATGAAACTGGTGAGTGAGAGTCTCTCTTTGAATTCAAATTATGAACAGGTCTTATTCTGAATATTTCATTTGTTATTTTTAGACTGAAGATCAACTGTCTGATTTTAGATAACATGCTCTGAAAACTCGACCCCTTAAATATCTGATGTTACTAAATTTATCTTTTTCATTAAATGGAAGGTCTCAAAAGGCGAGGCGAAAACGTTTCATAAAATATTTACAAAAAATACGTTAAAAGTTAGGTTCGCCAGTTTTTTGCGAATAAACGAGATATGCTAGTATTCATCAATATATTTTTAGAGAATTCCTTGTAGACCATACATTATACTAGGTTTTCCATATCCATTTGAGTTGACGTATCTACCTAGGCTATTGATAACTTCTGAAATTTAGTTATGTTGTATAAAATGAGGTAATGTACTGGTGTTTCCACGCCATCGAAGTCGGTTTAAAAGTACATATCTAACAGCCGAAAACTGTATACTTTAACCATCTTGTAAGTGACGACAACGTAAGGTCAGTGACTTTCAGCATGAACCAGTCGAAGAGATGCAGGTTGCCAGACTGAGCTTCTCATTATGTTGACAATCAGTAGCTGAATAATGCCAATGACATAGTTCAAAATCACACATCATGATGGAGATGTATTCACCCTTAATCATCTTCAATATTCTGAATGTATTTCTTCATTATCATTGCATTATTCTTTCTTTTCTCATTGTAGTATCATTATGCTTCTCTTCTCTTATTTTAATTATGGTATTTTGATGTATGGCGACTTGAAGTAATTTACTTCAGTGCAATATTCTGTCCATATGTCTTAGTTATTTTGTCGAACATGACTAAAAACTTCAGATTTCTCTACATTACACAGAAAAATAAATGATAGCAAATAGTAAACTAAAAACATCAAGCGATCTTTCCAGTTGAGAATGTCAAGTAGATTTTAGTACAATAGTAAGCTTAGCTGAAACAGTATGATAAAATGTTATGAAATTTGCAACAACATACTTGAGATCAAAGGGTATATATATATAATATATATATATATAGTAAATTGTCTTAGCTACGAAAGCAGTATTTCCAAAGATGAATCATTGGAATTATAAATTCTGGACAGCATATTACGTAATATAGAAAGCTTTAATCGGGTAGAAATTGAAATAAAATAATTCAGTTTGGACTTTCCTGATGACTGATTGGATAGAAGTGTTCGGTCTCTGTTGACATGTCGGCTCCCTGTAAGGATGTGTCGACGATGTCTCAGGATTACCTTGATATTATTTGGTGGATAGTGACTAGTAGTGGAGTCGTCCTATTTGGGTCTTCTCAACTGGATGTACCTACATCCTCGAGTGAGTAATGGTGTTCCCACTGAGGTTCGAACGCAGCACCCACCATTCCAAACGCGAAAGGGTTATCCACTAAACCAGTAAGACTATGAGAGCCACTTCTTGTGCAGTGAGTTTCATTCCTAAATGGGACGAATGAGCATCCTTGATTCCATAGCTAGTCACCATCCATCAAATTACTTCAAGTTCAGATAATTTTATTTTAGTTTCTACTCTATTAACGCTTTTTATATTAAGTAGTTTTTTTTATTTAAAGTCTAGTATTGCAAACTTATCTTTATGAGTATTAAAATAACCATTGACCTTAAAGTTTAAATTATGTAGAAGAAACAGAAAAAAAGCTAAAATTCACATATTACGAATCAGTATGTTGAAACAGAGAGACACAAAACTATGAACTATATGCTTACATTGATATTTCTTTGAATAATAACGAACGGTGAATAGGCAAAGTTTGTTCAAGTGAATGTTTACGTATACTTTAATGATGCATATGTACTCATAATCGCTAAATGAATGAGATTACAGATAACAGGACATCCCTAGTCTTTTGTCGTGGTTAACACTTTTCAGCGGCATGCACTCTTTACTTTATCACCAAGGATCGTATCCAAAATCTTCAGGTGAAGAGGTGAGCTGATTGGCCATTTAGTCATTCAGATAGGGTTTCATAGGTCATGAACTTGAACGTCTACCACCAAAATTGGTGGACCGCAGTGGTCATGATTTCCCACTGGAACTTCAGGCAACTTTACCCTGTTGTCAGTCATTGATGAGCACTAGTACGAAGTTGTGAACAGTGGGAGCAACCAAATCGGGCGTGAGAAGAGATAGTGACTGATAACATTGGCTGGCGGTTGCACGATATCGCAAATAAGCAGAAGTTAGATATCATGGGTCACTGGATCCTGTCCCGGTGGTTCGATGGTTTACAAGTTCATCTTGTAACTTGAAGGTCCTGGTTTCGACCTTTGGTGATAAGATCATTGGTTTGTACTACTGAAGAGTAGCATACTTGGGTAAAACGGCTATCCAGTACTACCTGGTTTTCAATATTCATTAAAGGAAGTCAATTTGTGTTCAAACTTGAAGTCAACCAACTCCCCTCAAACCAATGCTTGAAAATAAAATTCCAGGTATTTTAAGTGATCATCGGATGATAGCCGAAATTTATCAGTTGAGTGTGTAAGGTCTGAATACCTTGATGATAGTCTCTAATTATGATACAGAGTAATGTAAATTTAACTACCTAGTAAAGAAAAATCTAGCTCAGTTACTCGTAACACTTTTTAATGAGTATTGTGAGCTTTTTCATGTGGTTTTTTTTTATTACAGCTTGATTCCACACCGTATTTTTGGTACAAGTATGGAATTTTCAGCGTGGATATCGGTAGCCCAAAATTCGCAGGCCGACCGTAGATATCAGGTGTGCGTTGGCGTGGACTCGAACCTCGGACCATGTGCATGGTTGGTGAGAGTCCTAACCAGTGTGGTTGTGTTCTCTGAGCTGAGTATTGTGAGTTAAATTGTTTAATGCGACTATATTAGTCCTCATTTATTACCTACATCAGGATGTTGTTTAATTCTAAGAGTAATGAAAAATTCCTGTTTAATAGTTAGTAAACAGATTTCCATGTGAGTGATGGAAACATGACAGCTTGAAATAGACTCTCAGTTTTTTCTGAAAAGTTAAACTATAGCAAGAAAAATAAAATATTCATTTTACCTAAAGTTAAACTATAGGAGCCACCACAAACTCGACTGAAGAACCTTCAAAATGGCCCTTAAGCAACCAGTCATTCATTTGCATTACAACTGAAACACAGGGCCTGTGGCTTCAAGCTTTATAGTTTCAGAAGCGTTTGTGTTGTTTTACAGGGTCGATTTGCTAGCCACAAGTTCAATTTTTCCTCTTTGTCGAGCTTCCTACCAGTTAGGCGAGGTTTAGGAGTGTGTCGGCCAGGAATTGAGCCTGTTCCATGTATCTGGTTGGTGAATATTCGATCATTATGCCCCCAACGCACCACCATCAACTTGACTTCTGCTTCCTTCATGTTTTTTTTTACTGTAGCAGAGTATAATATTTAGAAGTGATGCGTTTCTGTGCACTAATTTGTTTGCTTCTTCTTGTTCACCTATACATGCTAACAGCAGTGAAATTCGTAAAACAGTTGAATCAGTATTACAAGAAGGTTGGATAAATTTTCATCAAAAAGAAATTACCAATGAATTTACTTACCTTGGAATTTTCAAGATTCCATAGAACACAAACACTTCAATAAGTCCACTTAATCCAAACAATGAAAACATGCTTGAATGTTGAATATTACCGATATGAACAAATACCCAATCACTGTTAAATCCAGTAATCACTTCACCTGTTATGCCACCAATACAACAAATAAACTTTGCAAGTGAATCAAATGGTATCGACTTTTTACAACAACCCCGATAATCATTAGACTTTTGCCTGTTAAGTGGGTATGATATCCTGTTAGTGAATTCAGGCACAAATTCATTGCATTTATTTAATTCATAAAGCTTTCTTCTATAGTATGTTTCTAAAATATGCCAAATTGACCATAGTCCATAGAGGATAAAGAAACTGCCAGGTAATGCATGTCCACCAAATGTTCCCATTTTCTTTCTTTGTGCTCTGTTATTAGTATATTTATTGTGTTATATTTATTTTCGTCTGTTTAAAAAAAATTTTTTTTCTCAACTCATGCCTACAGGTCATTTAAATTGACTTAGGGTGTAGTCAGTTAGTTGTGAGGCGGAACAATACTATCGATAAAATGCGACCAATCAGACACTAGTAACTGTTGATTTGATTAAATGAATTCAGATATAATTGGATGATATGTTTATTGATAATGTGATTATCTATTGGTTTAAATGAACAATTGATTAATATAGACAACACAACATGGCTATAGATAAATACAGGTATTTGTATTAAGCGGATTAGTCTAACCGTTACATAAGGTAGATATCATATGCTTGAATGTAAGAATCATGTTCAGAGAATCAAATAATAATAATAATAATTTAATTTATGTCCTCATTTGAGGCAGTTACCTTAGACAGTCACTGTAGAACGACTTTGTCTTAAATAAAGCTTACAACAAGAAGGGCAAACTTATTTACGGGTGTTGGTTTGCAAGGATTTGACCCATTTCAAGATTGATCACGATTCCTGGTGAGATCACGGGTGCGTACTGTCAAAGGACAAAACAGTACGTTTAGAGTTTAATTCCGATAAGATGGCGGTCATATTTTGTTCAGTCATGGAAATTACGATGTATCTTGTGGAATAAAGAAAGTTTGAATAAAGAAAGAATGAACAAATTTCCAGGATATTACAAGCTCATTTTATTTCGTGAATTCTCTTCAACTGCGTACATCATAAGTAAATCGATTATAAGTTACAGAAATTCTTTTTACAATGACTTCAAGTTATAGACAGAAATTATAGGCAACATAATTTCAAAGATGATATTAGTAGACAACTATTTAGTTTAAAAAAAGTAACTATTCATATAGTAATTAGACAAGAGGGTGGTGTTAAGATTTTATTTGGAAATAAGGATGGACTGGAGACAAAATACAAGATAGAATAACAGTGAATTTACACATATTATTGTGGAGAGTCCAGGGCAGTGGGAGTGAACGGTGAAGTAAAATTATGTGATAGACAAAATAATGTAGTAAATTTGGAAACATCATAGTAAGTTCAACTCAGTAAGTAAAAATCAAAATCAAAATTAAGTAAAGTGTTATGCAACAGGACAAGACAAAAAAGTACATGAATAAAATAATTACAGTTACCAGGGTAGTAAGAGATTAGTCACACTATATTTCTGTATGCATAGGACGGGTCAAAATCTTTTTCTATTTATTTTGACCACTTCATCTTTAATTTACGTGTTATCCTTGTAAAATTAATTTATTCTATCCATTTCTACCTTTTAAATCTGTATTGATTTTCTTCGTTAACTATTAACCCATTGACACTTTAATTATTGTTAACAAACTTATCGCCACTTGATTGGCAAACTGTTGTATTGTAATAACAGTGCTATATATATTAGAGTAGAGCCAGAGATGAGGATCTAATTGAAAAGTAAATATTTCTTCGCTCAATCTTTCTGTTTTCTAAATGTCTAAATGGGGATTTTTTCTTTATCAAAAGTCTTTTGATGACAGTGGACTCTGCGAACCTAAGTAACCATGCTTTTCGTTGTGTATTAATTGTTTTGAAAATCTGACTAATTTCCACTATTTATTCCGTGTCATAGGTCACACACGAATTCATTCTGGCACTTTCACTGTTCTCAGTGTGTGTCGATGACAAGTAATGCCACTTGGGCATTCTTCGAGTCTTCTCTACACCGATCGTGCATACATCTGGAGGGCAACGAAAAATTTGGGGTAGATGTGAAGTTCTAGAACCCGACCGTCTTCACATTCAGCTGTCGTCAAATTATGGGTGAACCGATCACTTTTTATGTAACTGCAACCAACGAAGAACCGTTCACCAGACTGCTGCAGTATTTATGTCCTCCAGATCTGCTAGGCCAACCAAATAAACGATCTTAAGTGGATTCGCAGAAAATTCACAGCACTACACTATTCTTCTCACTTGATCTGAGGGTGGGACGCACACCGACTCTACAAGAGTGTTATGGTAACACGTATGTCACGAAGAATCGTTTCGACGATTTTATGCACAGAAAGTGGTTTGAACTAACTCTAAGAATCGCAGTGATAAGTGGGGTGATACTTCTGGTATATATAAAATGACACTATCCTGTATAATTGTTTTTTCTAGGAAAATTCGTTTTTTATCAACTCTTCCGTTAAATAATGTCTTGGTTGTTTCAGGTCACTCGGCTGGTCGTTTGCTTGACTACCTATACTTTAGTCTAGTCAAGAACAGTTCTGTCATCACACAGTTTTTTAACATGTGTTCAAGGAATCTGGCGTAACCCCTTCTGTCTGTCCTTTCAATGCAGCTACTCCAGCAGTTGCAGGGTTTAGTCTAGTCAAGAACAGTTCTGTCATCACACAACAGGAGACGGTGGAATTTTGTTTAAACTCACTGATGGAAAGAATATTGGATTCTGAATATGAGATGAGCAGCATCTTGTAACGCTGACGCTACTTTTTTACATGCAAGTGTGGAGTCTAGAGCGTATTCCACTACCGAACTTTTCGACGTATGTTGTGTATACAACAGTGTCACTGTTGGGATCAGTTTTGCGTGTGTGCTATCAAGTAACAAAGAATGTAGACTCTAGTGCCTTCATTAATTCTACTTCACCAAATTCTTCCACTGATGCTCTTAACAGTTGTCTTGAGGACAGTTGGTGCTTTTGGAGTGTCATAAACTTCGGATACTGCTTATTGATATGCGTTGCAAGAGAGCTGCAAAATATGTTCTTCGGCCAACTCAGAAGTGCAGAAGATTCACACATCAGAGAGAACTTCTCTAGTTTTATTTTCTATAAAGTGGTTTTTATTTATGGTATACTGCACGTCGAAGCGCTTCATGAACTTTTACTTTGGGCCACTTGGTTTTCCATTCTTGGTTTTTTGCGTCTTCTCACTGGTCTTATCAGGGATCGTTCGCAATATATTCTCCGCTGCTCTGACTCTTCTTTCACATATCAAGCTAGAATCTTCTTGCTGTGTTGCTTACTTTTACTTCTCAGTAATTTTTTAATGGTTGTATGTATTATTGTGGGTGCGAAGCATTCACTTCACACGATGTTCTTCATGCTTGCCGAAGTATTTCAGTTAATGATAGTCACAGTGCATGTAATCACATGGTATGTGGTTTATGTATACTTTGAACTTGCTTCTCGACCAAGTAATGGAGATAAGTTATACCACCGATTTGTTATTCTCTACTACACGGAGCTTCTCTACGATTCAGTCGCTGACTTCGGTGATTTGTTACACAATCTGCACATGTTATTTTGGAATAAACTTCAAATTAATATGCCCAGTATAATAATCGCTCTACACCTTCAACATTTGTGTTATAAAATATCAAAACGAATTGTGCATCACAGGCGCTATAGGACTGGATTACGAGTTTTGGACTCAAGGATTATTCATCTAGAAGTGAGTAAGCTGAACTCCAGTTCAGTTGAGATTGTTTTTCACTTTATTTTTCACATTCGAGTTATTCGCTTACTTATCGGACCTTGATTCGTTTTGATTTTCATGGTAACATATAGTCTATACGTATATATATATTCTTTTTTCGCCTAGGTTACTATTCTGGTGTATTTTGTTACATTTGATTTTAAATAAAATCCTCATTGTACACGGTTCTACGTGAAGTTTTATCACAGTTTCCTTTGAAAACCGAGACCATTCAGTTCACAATATGTGGTCTACTTGGTACTATAAATGAGTTTAGAAACCAAGTAAGATTCATAACACCAAATACTACTGATTCATTGAGATGATTGGTTGTAAACCATTCACATCATCCAGTAGTGCTTGCTAGCCTCATAGAAGTGATCTAAACACCAGACAGTCATTTTGGTTCTGACTATGAATATTATTCATGGTAACACCAATTAGTCCAAGTAGATAGCCAGAAATCTTCGCTGCCTGAGTTGAGTCAAACCTGTCACACCGTTGACTGTCCCTACCCTAAAGGAGTTGGATAGCCGTCCGATGGTCAGGTGACTTCGGTCTAGCTAGCTAGCAGGCACTACAGGTTGATGTGAGTTGTACACAACTGCTCATGTCAGTCAACCAGGAATACATAGTGTTATGGACTCTTTATTTGTGCCTCGACGGATTTAAAAAAAAAACGAGAAAGCTTATCTTTCTATTTATTTGTTGAAAATCAAAATAGTGTTTATTGGTGTTGGAAAATCACTTTTGAGATCATCCCTTACCGACTGTCAAATCTTGCGAAATTCCAAACGTTCGCAATCTTTTATCCAATTTTCAATATCTTCTCTATCACTAATTGCCGGATTCTATACTACTGAGAATTAAATAGGCTCAGAAATTCATTAAGCTCTATGTATTATTTTGAATTAATCAATACCGCCTGAGAATTGGAATCACATGATTTAAACAAGAAAATCTCCCAGCTGATCCTCACTTATTATTTCTGTAGTTCACTTGGTTATTACATTATGAATCTTGATGGATTAACAACAGATGAGATTGATTTAATCAAGAAAACATTTCATCAGTTCGATTATCGTAAAATTGGTTTCATATCTCATGAAGAATTTGCTGACGCACTACGTTGGATGAAATTAATACCTTCTGAGGAAGAAATAGCAAAAGTCTTAAAGGAAATTGATCCAGAAAATCTAGGACGCATTAAAATTGACGCATTTGTTCGTGGTGCACTGAAATTCTGGTTCCCATCACCACAAAGTTTAGAAGCACATTTATGGGATGCATTTTCAGTATTCGATAAAGACCTGAAAGGTAGTATATCAAGTGATTTATTAAGGGAAATTTTAACTATGAATGATACGGAACCGATACCAGAAAAGGAAGTGAACAAGATTATCAAATACTATGAAAATACGTCTGATAAGACAATTAGATACGGATTAATAATCGGTGACTGGATGAAGTGATATCTGAAGATTAAGGCGGATAATTAAAGGCTGAAATGATAGAAAAAGAGTGAAGGAAGACATCCCAGGGAGTCAGTTTCCCAAGAGTATCGTTTTATCTATGGATTTAGTTCCTTTGAAAAAAACCCAGTTTGTTTCAATTCTGGACAGTCAATAAAGACTGTAAGAAAATTGTTCATTCAAAGTCTTTTGTTAGCAGTAATAAACTGTGTGACTACTGATTAACAGCATCAGTTCTTTTTGCTCTTTCTATGACGCATGTGAAGGGTTGTAATTTTGATTGTTTCTACAGTCACCGATGCTTTCATTAGATTACTGTGTTGTAATAAAAACTTCATTTGTAACCATATATAGTTATCAAGAGGAAACGACATTGGTGACTTGGATTGAATCGGAGGACAGTCTTCAACCCGGTGAAGGGTTCGTCTGAAACTACAAAGTGACTTCTGAACTGAATTTTTCTTGTGTAAGATGGATAGGCCATAAAATATCACAAGGTATGTAACAAAATGAGATAAAATAATGTATGACTGGTGAAATTTCACCTGAAAATTTCCGATAGCTTTACTTAGTTAACCTTACCGTAAATAAACTATTAGAAAGAATATAATGTATTATTTTAGCCTTAACAGGCTTTCTGAAAAAATGTCACAGAAGTGAATGGGCATAATCCTAAGGGAAGATTACGCTGACTCCTACAGATAATAACAGATAAGATTAAATTGTCTAAATAGGCGAGCCTGCCCCCCGTTTACCCTCTTCTTCGTCTGCCTTATCTGGATCATGTATAGCTTGCCTAATGTTCCAGTGGCTTAAATTCTAAGCAGTATGTAGGAATTAACAAATAATTTCACTAAGGCATTAAGAAGACAAATTTCACGAAAGGATATCATTTCGTAGTTTCTTTACAACCGCTTTACAACTAACATGGTTAACAATAATAAAATAAAGATCATGACAATTACTCAGTTACATAAAAAACTAATGACCAATCATATTTAAATAGGTCATGCAATCCATGGTAGGCGAAGACTGAAGTCTATAGTTTTTTCCACACACAGTTTAGGCTGTATGTGATTAATCCAAAGTGCTTCCATCACCTTCAATAACCTTGAATTGTAGTTATGTGAAATATTAGTAGACAAAAGACAAGTAGTTCAGCGAAGAGTCTCTTTTCGGCGAATTCATTTTCATAGCTGTACAATCACAAATATATATGGTTATTGTGTGTGTGTGTGTATACATTAAATTTGTCAAACGAAAATACAATTAGTTAGTTCAAATGAATTGGATGTTGATAAGAGGATAGCAACAAAAGTGATGAGTTGTCATAAATGATTGTTAAATAAGAGTTACGTAATGGCATGAATGAATGGCATGATGAATGAGTTGTGCTCAGGGTGTACATGGAAACAAAATAATATACAGAATTACACAAGGGTTTTAAGTTAGATAAATAAGCATACAAACAGAAGTAAGGTCAAATCAAACAAACAAACAAACAAAAGTTAGGTCAAATCAACGGAGTTGTTACCATGCAAGTAGAAGTGGTTGGATAATTTTCTGTTGTATGCATAATTCTGGTTCCACCGACTGAATGGCTAGAGCGGCAACATTAAGAATAGTGTTCTTCAGTCGCCCGCCGATCTGCAGAAACCCAAAGGACAAGATTCCGCATATGACCACTTCTATGTGTATATATCAGTTCCCCTGTTGCTGTGGAGCCAGGCACATCGGTCGTTCAACGCGCATCCTATCAAAAAGGGTCAAAGAACACTATCCAGTGTGGCTACAGAAAGGAAATAATGGCTATATAAGAAGTGCAATAATTGAACACCTCGTCAACACTGGTCATTCCATCTCAGCAAACGCCTCCTTCAAAGTATTCTACAAAGTGAAGAACAACCTTCCAAAGACAGTACGATTCCGTCTTCTTTGCATCGCAGAAGCCCTAGACATCCAGTTGGTGGAACCAGAATTATGCATACAACAGAAAATTATCCAACCACTTCTACTTGCATGGTAACAACTCCGTTGATTTGACCTAACTTTTGTTTGTTTGTTTGTTTGATTTGACCTTACTTCTGTTTGTATGCTTATTTATCTAACTTAAAACCCTTGTGTAATTCTGTATATTATTTTGTTTCCATGTACACCCTGAGCACAACTCATTCATCATGCCATTCATTCATGCCATTACGTAACTCTTATTTAACAATCATTTATGACAACTCATCACTTTTGTTGCTATCCTCTTATCAACATCCAATTCATTTGAACTAACTAATTGTATTTTCGTTTGACAAATTTAATGTATACACACACACACACACAATAACCATATATATTTGTGATTGTACAGCTATGAAAATGAATTCGCCGAAAAGAGACTCTTCGCTGAACTACTTGTCTTCTGTCTACTAATGTTCGAATGGGAATTACTCATGAATTATGTGAAATAATCTTGAAACAGTCATTAATATTGAATTTGTGACCTGACATTAATAAATGTTTGACAATGGATGGTGATGGATTTCTATTCAGATTAATCACATTGTGATTTTCTATATGATTTAGTAGCCATTTTGGAACATGTTCTTTTCGACGACATTGGAACATTCTGTTGGTTCTATCTATACGGGTGTCATCACAGCTGCAGGTGAACTTGTAGATACACTTTGAAGTAGAGTCCATAGCATTTCGTCCTTTAATCGTAGGTACAGGGAGTGAAAATGTTCGGCAAGTGAGAAAAAGAGATGCGGCGTAGAATGTGCATTTGATGACTGACCGAAGTCTCTGAGTTGTCAGCTGCATAATCTGGTCGCCCTTGAATATTAGGCTAATAAAGAAAGCTTTCTTTGGTACAGAAGCTATCTTCTCGAGATGTGGTCTTTCTTTACTGTGACAAGTGATAAAGTTTTCCGGATAACCATTAGCTTGTAATGGTAAATAATTCCCCAAAATTATTGACCACAGCAATCACTCATTGGATGCTGACCACCACTGTTTAAGTCGACTTGTTTAGCTGAAGGCTTCCGGTCAAGCATCCCCGTCATTTAATACCCCGTCGTGTCACGTGCACGATCACTAGCTAGCTAAGCATTCGTCTGAAGGCTTGTTTTGGTCCCGAAATATATCACGAAGTTTGGACGATCAATTATTGGCATTTGCTTTGTTTTCGGTACGCGAGAATAATTTAGAGGTTGTGTAAGATAATTCCGTCAACCCCTCTAAACTGGTGAGCCCAACCGTGAACTTCATCCACGATAAATCCGCAGATAACCCCGGTGAGTTCGTTCCATTTTGTATTTGTTCTTGTACCATATATTATTCGACATAATTTTCGTCATGAGTGATCTTAGTCCCAAGGTCATCCGTATCCGCTCAACTCCTAAAACCATTCAGCTCGTACCATACTGGCCAGATAATGCTGAAACGTGGTTTCTGCTAGCTGAAGCAGATTTCTGTGAGCATGGGATAACCGATCAACGATCACAGTTACTTGCAGTTATTCACGCCCTACCGCGGGAATTCAGCAAGTACGTAACATCACAGGTGTTGAGTCCCGAGGTAAGTGACTCGTACGAGCTGCTCAAAGCATCCCTCCTCAGGAGAAACGTTCTCACGGACCGACAACGTCTAGATGAATTATTTCGTAACATCGAGTTAGGAGATCAGTCAGCCGTGAGCATGCTGACAAGAATGAAAGAAATTGTTGGCCAAAGTCAGTTCGACGAAGGACTGTACAGACCGCACTTGTGACACTTCAGGGTACTGTAATAGAGGACTTAGCTATTACTGCAGATAGGATTCTAGAAATAACTAAACGGTCAGTTCCCGAAATATGCTCGATGACTAAGCAGACTTCGAGTAAGGATCCTGCAATGATAGAGTTATGCAACTCCATCCAGCAGATGTTTAGGTCGAACATGCATTCTAACTCCTCCGACCGTCGTCCTAAATCTCCTCAACGCAGGAACTCACGTGGTCGATCTAAGTCCAAACCACGTTCACTGAAAAACCCTGACTGGTGCTGGTACCACAACACCTATGGCCAAGAAGCGAAGTGTTGCCGTAAGCCTTGTAACTTCGGAAATGTCTCAAAGTCTGTGGGAAACTATCCCGCCGGCACGCGTTAGCGGCAACCGTCGCCGGTGGCACTAGCCGCCTTCTTTACATCCATGATGTGATAAGCCAGACTCGATACTTAGTCGACACAGGCGCCGAAGTCAGCGTCCTTCCTGCTACAGCAGCAGATCGACAGAAGGAACCTACCTTCAACTTACAGGCTGCAAATGGAAAACCAATCGCAACCTTTGGTAGAAAATACGTCTATCTGAACGTAGGTTTACGCAAACCTATTCGATGGATTTTCCTTCTCGCTGACGTTACAATGCCCATCATTGGCACGGACCTACTTAATCATCATGATTTACTCGTAGACGTCCGCCGAAAACGACTGATTGACAATACTACTAGTCTGTCTATCAAAGGCATCAGCTACATAGGCCCTAGTCTGTCACCCGTTAAGATAAAGGCAATTCTTGATCCAACTTTTCAACCTATTGTTGACAAGTATCCGGAACTTAACTGCCCGTCGAACGACCTACCGTGCATAACCAGCAATGTTATGCACCACATCATTACCACAGGACAACCTGTGACATCTAAAGCACGACGATTAGCTCCTGACAAACTGAGAATCGCCAGGAATGAATTTGACCATATGCTTACCCTTGGCATCATTCGACCTTCGAATAGCCCATGGGCATCCCCACTTCATATGGTTCCGAAAAAGGATAGCAATGATTGGCGACCCACCGGTGATTACCGGCGAGTGAATGCCAAAACAACCCCTGATTGCTACCCGTTGCCTCATATACACGACTTGACGGCAACCTTATCGGGCGCGACTATATTCTCCAAAATCGACTTGGTTAAAGCGTATAACCAAATCCCGATGGCAACAGAAGATATCCCGAAAACGGCTATCATTACGCCTTTCGGACTTTTTGAATTTCTACGTATGCCATTCGGTCTCCGGAATGCAGCCCAAACATTCCAACGCTTCATTGACGAAGTATTTCGCGGTCTCGACTTTGTATACGCATACTTAGACGACTGCCTCATTGCCAGTCCAGACAAGGAAACTCACCTTAGGCACTTGGACTTGGCATTTGACAGGTTACGCCAACATGG